CGGGGGCGGCAGGATGGCCTTCGACCGCCTGGGGATTGAGGTCGCCGCCCACGCCACCGCAGAGCTGCTGCCCGAAGCTCGGCGCGTCAGCCATCAGCAGTGGCCGTCAGCGATAGAGCTCGGAGACGTGACCAAGATAACGTTGAAGACCATCAAGGCCGTGATGTCGAAGGCGCCCCACTTGCGCGTCGCGTTCGTGCTGGGGGGATCCCCGTGCCAGGGAGTCGCTCGCATCAAATCCTTTGGGCAGGGTTGGGCCGAGGACCGCGCACGACTGGTGCAAGAGCTACCTCGCGTAGCAGGCCTCGTGCGAGCCGCCCTCCCCGATGTCCAGGTATTCACCCTGGGCGAGAACGTCAGCTCGATGACGGCCGCCGACAGGGGAAGATTCAGCCAGGTCATGGGAGTCGTGCCCGTGGAGCTCTGTGCCAGCGGGTGCAGTCCGGTCAAGCGGCCGAGGCTCTACTGGGTCGACTGGCCGCTCGGGCCCGAGACCTCAGAGTTCCAGTACCAGCAGAAGGACGAGGTCATCGAGGCAGTGCTCACTGGCAGCTGGCCGAGTTGGGCAGAGCAGCTCGAGCAGGGTGCGCGCCGTCCGCGGGGAGAGAAGGGAGCGTGGGCCACCTTTGCGCGCTCCATCCCTCGCGAGAGGCCGCCACCTTCCCCAGCGGGGCTGGGAGTGACCGACCAGGCTGCGCGCGAGCGTTGGGCGGCGGACGAGTGCCGCTACCCGCCGTACCAGTGCCGCAGGGATAACCTGGTCGAGGCATCCGCCGCGTCGGCGAGGACAGGGGAGTCGGGCGCCAAGCACAAGCTCCGACCTCTGACCAGCAGAGAGCGGGCTGTGCGCCTAGGGTTTCCCTGGAACCATTGCAGCTGGGCCGTGCCCAAGTCCGAGTCGGGGTCGAACGACGAGGACGTCAAGTGCTCGCTGCTGGGTAACTCCTTCTCAGTCCCGGTGGTAGCCTTCCTGCTTGGAAGAGGCTTGGTGGCCGCTGGAGTCTTGAGCGAGCCGCCGACTGTCGCCGAGTGCTGGGGGGCCCCAGGTGGGGAGGGAAGCCTCTACCTGGAGTTGCTGCTGGACGCGCCTGCCACCGAGGCGACCCCCGATCAAGTGCACCGCGCCCTTTACGAGTCACTTGTGCGGAACGCCATCTTCAAGGGCAGCGATGTGCGAGCCGCGACGGGAGGCCTTTGGAAGCCTGCGGGTTGGCCAAGGAGAGGCGTTGATGCGGACCGCTGGCTCTGGCGCACTTGCCTGAGCTTCAAGCAGGGAGGCGCGCGCATCAACGTCTTGGTGCTGCAAGCCCTCTTGACCGCCGTGTCTTGGCGGATGAGGAGCCGTGCGAACATAGGCGCGAGGTTTATTCATTTCTATGATTCTCAGGTTTCCATAGCAGTGGCCTGCAAGGGTAGGTCGCAGTCCCGCCAGCTTCAGTCCATCCTCATGCGGTTGAACGCGCTCCTGCTAGCCACGTCCAGCCACCCATTTTGGGTCTGTGTTCGGTCGGAGCTCAATCCGGCCGACGCTCCGAGCAGATAGTGGCAGCCATAGTGCTCAGTGGCGGGACGAGGCAGCAGAGAAGGGATGAGCGAAGCAGAGCGGGGACCCTGAGATCATTGCAGCTCCAACCGCGCACTGTCCAGCGGTATCTGGAGGCCACACATATTTATTTCCAGTGGCTCCTGCGCCTTGGTGAGCCCTTGCCTGTCTCGATCCCAGCCGCCGACGAGATTCTCGGGGAGTATCTCGAGGATTGTTGGGCGGCTGGAGATTCCAAGTACTTGGTGGGGGACACGTTGTCGGGGCTCCAACATTTTGTTCCAAGTTTGCGCAGAGGTCTCAACGATCCTTGGAGACTGTTCGGCACATGGTCTAAGACCGAAATCCCTTCCCGTGCTCGGCCGCTGTTGCCCGAGCAGGCTCTTGCGATGGCAGGCTTTGCGCTAGAGGAAGGAGACAAAGCGACAGCTGCGGCAGTACTGGTGTGCTTCAACGGCATCCTTCGCCCCGTCGAGCGCATATTGACGGCCGGGCAATGCACCTTTGACCTGGACCGTGGCGTGGTGCACCTCAACCTCGGTTTCAACAAGGGAGGTAAGAGGTCAGGCACCGCCGAGCGCGTCACCATCGACGAGCTCGAGGCTGTTGTGCTCATTGCCGAGCTTTTGCAAGGGCGCCCAGCTGGCACCCAGCTGTGCCCCCGCGGCACGGGCGGCTTCCGCCGTGCCCCCAGGAGACTGGTCCAGTCCATTGGGGCCGACCCTGATAGGTACAAGCCGTGCTCGCTGCGCCGGGGAGGGGCCACCCACCACTTCAAGATCCTGGGAAGTCTCTCCAAGACATGCATCCGCGGCCGTTGGAGGCACCAGCCCACGGCTCGCATTTACATTCAGGATGGCGTGGCCATGCTGGAGCGCCACGGCCTCAGCGCGAAGGAGCGGCGGTTGATAGCCAAGGGAAAGTCTTTGCTACGCCGTCGTCTCTGACGCCCGTGCCCTGGGCCCTCGGACGCCCATCAGCTCCGCCAATTCAGTGCAGCGTGGGAGGTCACGCGCGCTGGGAGTGCATGCATGGAGCGGGCGCGCGCCTGAGTGCTGCGGCTTGCCACCTTCGGCACCCAGCGAACAGGCAGACCACGCCACCTCCTGCGTCCAACGCGACGCCCCCGACGGCCGTCGGAGGGAGGCGAGGGCGGTTCGCCTGGGCCGTCTGGCGCCCTGTTCCTGAGGCGGCCCGCCGCATCACCACTAAGGCGCGGGCTGCCGCGGCCAAGAGAAAAGGAGCGCGGCCGCGGCAGCGTCAGACGGGAGCGAGGAGAGGAGGAGTGAGGAGCACTAGTCCGTCATTCATGTAGATTAGTGCGAGCTCCCCCCCCCCCCCCCCCCCCCCCCCCCCCCTCCGCGACCGCAGTTGTTTGGGCCACCGACCCCGCCCAGCAACGCTGACGCCCTGAGAGTTTCTTGACCTGAATGCGTCAGGGGCTCTCGCCCCCGCTGAGGGGAGATGGAGCGGGCGCGCGCCTGAGTGCTGCGGCATGCCACCTTCGGCACCCAGCGACCAGGCAGACCAAGCCGCCTCCTGCGTCCAACGCGACGCCCCCGACGGCCGTCGAAGGGGGGTGAGGGCGGTTCGCCTGGGCCGTCTGGTGCCCTGTTCCTGAGGTGGCCCGCCGCATCACCACTAAGGCGCGGGCTGCCGCGGCTAAGAGAAAAGGAGCGCGGCCGCGGCAGCATCAGACGGGAGCGAGGAGAGGAGGAGTGAGGAGCACTAATACTATGCGGTGCACCTGCGTTGCTACCGCAGTCGCGCGATGCACCATATCGTGGCAGTCAAGACGATGAGGGCCACACGCGCGCACACCTTTAATCATCAGTACAAAACAATATGCTCTCCAAGTATGCCAAGGTCGTACCGTCATCTCAATCACGGTGTCTTGCGCAGTGCCGCCTATTACCCTCCTCCTCATAATCCTAATCATCAGCGCCGACATCAGCATCAGCACCATCAGGGCCATCATTTTGATCATCATCATCAACACCACCATCACAATCACCATCACCAACACCACCATCATTACGATCACCACCATCACCATCGTTCTCATATTCTTCACCTTCCACATCGGAATCAGCACCACCACTACTCATCATCACCATCCGCATCATCATCATCGTCGGCATAATAATAATCATCATCAGCATCATCACCATCATCATCATCATCGTCGTTATGCGCACGACGTCGATACATGGCTCTGCCTTAGTTGTCTCTCGAAGCGGGTAGGGCGTATCGCTTTTGGAAACGGAAAACTGAGAACGGAACTACAACGAAGTTCGACAACTATCAAACAAAACAAATTTGCGCCATCAGGGAACAGAAACGGAATAACAACAGCTGCTGACATCGGCGCCTGCCCGCCAGAACCTCCTAAGGCCCTCGAAACGAAAACAAAAAAAAGGCACGCGCGATCAGGATCGGGGCGGCGGCGGCATTCCCCTCAGTCGCTGTCTGAAGAGGCGCCCGGAGCGGAGGAGGCGCTGCCGTCTTCGACGGGCACGGGCTCGGCCCCGTCGACGCCTTCGTCTGCATCTGTTCCTCATCCTGTCCGCTTTCTACGCTTTGCTTGGTGAGCGCTGCCATCCCGTGCGGTCTGGCCCTGTTGGCTGGCACCCTTGACTGAGGCGGCTGCGTCGGTGGGGCTGGAGCTCCAGGAGAGATTCTCGGGGGGGCTGGTGGCACGTGAGCTGAAAACGTACCGGAAACGTTTTTGGAAACGGAGCAGAACGGAGCAGGCGGGCCGGGGGAGCGATGGGGAGTTGAACATGGGGAAACAGGTTGATTCAATCCCTTGACGCAGCCGTCGCAGTCAACGGTGCTAGCAAGCAGGGGCCGCGCGTTCGGGATGCGCTAAGCAAGTATAGCGTGTCCGGACGGGCCGATCGAGCCCGTGCCCGTCGAAGATGGCAGCGCCTCTTCCCCTTCGAGACGGCGACCGAGAGATGCAAGGGGCCCCTAGCTTGGGTGCGCGAGATGACCGACCACCTGACCACTTCTGAGGGGAGAAGGAAACTGGAACAAACGGCACGCTGAAAACGAATAAGAAACGAACCGGAAACGGTAACAGAAACGGAAACGCAGTTTGTACTAATTTTCACCATGCGGAAATGAAACGGAACGGACAACGGAAGTAACCCCTGAAACATCAAGACGTAAATAACAGCGCCTTGATTATGTTGAGGGACATCTAAGGGCTCCGCTTGTCTGCCATCATAGCCACTACTATCATCGTTACGCGTATAGCCTTCATTAACAACATCCGCCCGACTAGGATATGGTTTTCGCGCGTCGTGGCGGTCCGTTTGAGGCAACTGTACAAAGAAGACTGTGCTGGTGATCCAAATCACGGCCCAGAGTCTTTTACCACCTGGTTGCTGGCGGGAGGGTGGCGTTGTCCTGCCTCGCAGGACGGTTGATTCAGGGCCCAGGGGCCCTCCAGCCGGCCGGCTGCCCCCGGTGCGCCGGCGGACACCGCGGTTGCCAGCAACAGGGCCGGCGCCGCTCTGGCGCAGGTTCCTCGCCGCCGTCGGTCGTCGGTCCTCGGTCGTCGGACGTCGGTCGTCGATCCGTCGTCTGTCGTTCGTGGGTCGTCGTCGGTTGTCGCCGCCGCCGTCGGTCGTCGCGGACCTCGTGGTCGTCTCCTTCGTTTGTCCTTTTCACCGTCGTCGTCATCGTCGCGGTCGCCGTCGTGAGGGATTGCCTCGTCGACCTCGACGTCGTTGTCCTTCTGTTCCTCCCTCGTTCCATTTTTATTGTATAGCCCTCCTCCTCCACTTTCTCCTTTCTCTTCTTGTCTCCCTCCATCTACCTCCGTTCTCGTCCTCATCCTACTGTCTGCCCTTGCTCATCCTTCCTCTCTTTCATCTGCTGTTGCCGCTGCTGCTTATCTTCTACCTCCCGCATTCGTTCCGTCCCTCCTCCTCCTCCTCCTCCTCCTCCTCTTCACCCCCCCATCTCCCTCATTTGTCCTCACATTTCCATTCACCGCCTGTTTTGTCCTTGTTCGTCTTCCTCCTCCTCCTCCTCCTCCTCCTCCTCCTCCTCCTCCTCTTCCTCCTCCCCCCTTCCCCGCGTAACCCCACTGCGCCTCCTCGTCCTGCTCCTCCAACTCGTTTGCCTCCTCCTGCGTCTCTTCTTGCTGCTACTCCTCCTGATCGACCGTCTGCTGCGGTGGGGGCGTTCGGTAGGTAATGTGCCCAGGAGTCTTCGGCCCCTGGAGGGCTCCTTATCTGATGAGGGCGGCGGTGATACTCATGGTCAATCCGCGATTGGAACCCCCTCCAGGCCCTCCTACCCCCCTCCCCCCTCCAACGACGCAATATGGTCGGGGCCTTGGTTTGGGAATGAGCCCGGGAGGCTTCAGACCCTTGAGGATTCTTCATCTGATGTGGACGGTGGTGATATCCATGGCCAGCCCACGACTGGAGTTCCACCGGCTTCCAGACCCTGGACTCCTCATCCAAGCGTTCCTTATCGATCGGAGGGGGGAGAAGCGACACCAACACCATCAGGGGGGCCACTTCCAGCGAGGAGGTCCACGATGCCTCCCCGAGCTGGAGGCTGGGGATGTCTCGAGCGAGAGAGGGGACCACACCACCAGGGAGACCTCCCTTTCTCCTCGCATCTCCTCGCCCTGTCGGTGTTGGTGTCGCCTTTCCTTGTCCCTATATCGAATGCCTTCACCGCATCCGTGTTGATCTGGCTCTGGACCTATTCTCCGCCGACGCCTTCCAAGGCTCGCGGCCGCTCCTCCCCTCCTCCTCCGCTCCTCCCACCTCCCTCCCTCCCCTCTACAGTTACAGATTGTTAAGTTTAATTTCTTCGAGAACTCATTGTTTTTGTTGGGGGCCAAGATCCTTTCATTTCTAATTGTTCTATCCTGGGCCTCTTCCTGGCCACTAGGGGGCCAGGATCAATTAGAAAGGAACACAGTTAGAAACGAGCACGATTAGAAATGAACGACGTGTACAGTAACACCATATGGATATTGCTCTTCTCTCTCTCCTGGTGGCGTCTGGGAATGTCCGGCCCCCCGTCCGCTCACGGTTTGTTACACAGGATTCCTGGGACACGGGTTTTCGCTTGTTTTTTCAAAATAATGTTCTCGTTGAAGCGCTGGCCTCATTTTCGGGCTACCGCTCGTTCCGAGAGTCGTGCTCCCGCTGCAGCGTTGGCTTCATTTCCGCGCTTCCGCTCATCTCGACTCTTTTTCCCACTGCAGCGCTGGCGTCAATATTTCCAGTGCCATACCACGGCATGGTTTCCGGTCCTTCCGCCAAATAGGCTCCAAAATCTAGAAAATGGCCCCCCGAAAAAACATCGGACGTGATTCCACATTCGGTGACGAGTCGTTGATTTTTGGGGCCGAAGAAGCCCCCCCCATGGGGGCGTCGCCACGCCATGCTATGCCATATTACGCGTTGATCTTCAACACCATGCTATGCCATGTAATGCTATGCCATGTTGCCACGGCCGATTGTGAGAATAGAATGGAGATCTACGCCATGATAAGGGATGGGAGGGAGGGGTAGGACGTCACAGATGGCGCGAACGCACATAGCTTGCCCCTCCCGTCTCCCCCTTCCCCTCTCTCCCCCCCCTCCCCCTCATCCCCCCCCCCTTCCAGCCTCCTCCCCCCTTTCCCCCTCCCCTCCTCCCTCCCTCCGCCCCTCCGCCCTCGCTTCCCCCCCCCCCCCCCCTTCCTCGCCGCCCGCCGTGGAGGCCGCCGCCGCCGCTGGCGGGCCCGGCGCCGCGGCGCCGCGTCCCACCGCGGCCGCCCGCGGCGGGGCACGGCCCCCGTGCTGCGGGTGCCTCGCGGGGCTGCTCGGGGAGCGGCAGGCGCGTCGGTAGGGATGAGGGGCTCGGGCTGGGGCTGGGGCTGGGGGGGGGGGGAAGGGGAAGGGGAGGGGGGTATAGGGAGGGGAGGGGGATGGGAGGGGAGGGGGATGGAAGGGGGGTTGAAAAGGAAGGGGGGCGGACGGGAGGGGGAGGGGATGGAGGGGAGAGGGGAATGGACGAGGGGGGTGGAGGGGAGGGAGATGGGGGGGGGGAGGAGGGCATGGGGGGGGGGCAGGCGCCCCCAGAGGGGGAGGAGGGCAGGGGCGCGGGGAGTGGATGGGGGGAGGGTCGAGCCGCCTCTCCCGGACGCAAACTGTACTGTTTGGCTCACTCCCACCCGCCCTCTTAACACAGAAGTAGCGCCCGAGTCTCAGCACGTCGCTCAGGAGCGCCAGCCATGGCATGTGCGCCACGGTTTCCCCAGGTGTGCCAGGCACCCCGGACGCCCAACCGTGCCTGGCGCGCCTGTAGGGGGGAGACGTCCTTTCTTGGGGGGGCGCACTCGGGAAAGGCGCTTCAGCGGGGTCGTTGGACTCGGCTTGTCTAGCTCGTTTGCCCTTAGTGCGTTTTGCTGGATCTGGCTCGCGCACAGGCGCCCTGCTCCAAAGGAGGTACAGGGAGGGAAAGGGGGGGAGGCATGGGGGAGAAGGCGCGGGGGGAGGGAGGGAGGCAAGGGGGAGGGAGGAGGGGAGGGTGGAGGGGGGAGAAGATGGGGAGCGGGGGCCGGCATTCCCGGGGTCAGGCTTCCTGCGGCTTGATAGCCTGTGGTTCTGGGTGGGTCGACCCACGGGCGGGGGCCCACCTCCCTCGGGGGGGGGGGGGGGGGAGCGGGCTCGCGCCTCGCGTCTTCCCGTCCTCCAAGCCCAGCCGCCCCACAGACGAGGAGAGAGGGGATGGGGCTGCCGCCGGAAGACCCGTGCAGACGGCGGCCCACACCTCGCCTCGCCCGCCCCCCGCCGGTGCGCCGCGCTCCGCCTCCCTCAGCTCCTGGCGGCGTGCTGCGCCGGCAGCCGCGGCGAGGAGGAAGAGCGGGCTTGCGGCGGTCGGGGGGGGGGGGCCAGGCCCACCTCTTCCCACCTCTCCCCCCGCCCTGCTCGCCAGCTGCCCGCTTCGCTTTGCCACCCGTCCCCCCACCGCCACCCGGACCGCTGAAGCGAACCCCGCGCGCGGGTGGCGCGCCCCCTCCTCGCACTCAGTCGTCACCTTCGCCCGCGCGACGGGCTCATGTGGGGTGGGCGGTGGAGAAACACGGAGCGACTCTCCGAGTGGGCGGTGGAGAAACACGGAGCGACTCTCCGACTGGAGGGCCGCCGATGGCCCCCCGAAAGCGCCCTCTTTTGTTCTCCTCCGCCTCTTTCACCTCTCCCCTGCCAGTTCCTCTCATGCCCTCCACGGGGCGCTTCGGCTGCGCTAGCGACACTCTCCTTCGGCCTCCCCCTCTCCCGCCCTCCGCCGTCGCGCCCGCTGCTCCCCGTGGCCTCGTCCTCCTCCCCTCTCCATCTCTGTCGTCCTCGCGCTGCGCCTCGCGTCGCCCGCTCCGCGTCCTCCCGCTCCTCTGGGGCCGCTCCCCGTTGGCTGCTGTGCTCACCCCAGTCTGTGCGCCCTGCGTCCAGCCAAGAGCCCATGGCGAGGACTGGGAGCCGTTGAGGGGGCGATGGTTGCAGCAGGTGGGATCAAAGGCCCCGAGCTCGAAACTCAAAGGGGGGGATGGATGAGTAGGAAGGGGAACGAGGAGGAAGGGGAGGATTGGTGATGACGACGACGACGACGACGACGACGACGACAACGACGATGCGACGATGACGGCGGCTGCGGCGGCGGCGACGGCGACGACAACAGTGATGATGATGGTGATGGGAATGGTGATGATGATAATGACGATGATAATGATGATGATGATGATGATGATGATGATGATGATGATGATGATGATGATGATGATGATGATGATGATGGTGATGATGATGATGATGATGATGATGATGATGATGATGATGATGATGCTGCTGCTGCTGCTGATGATGATGATGATGATGATGATGATGATGATGATGATGATGATAGTGGTGGTGGTGGTGAGGATGATGAAGATGCTGATTATGATGATGATGCTGATGCTGATGCTGATGCTGATGCTGATGATAATGATGATGATGATGATGATGATGATGATGATGATGATGGTGGTAGGTGTGATGATGCTGATGATGATGAGACGGGGGAGGAGGAGGAGGAGGAGGAGGATGCCGCGGAGGAGAAGGAGGAGGCGAACGAGGAGGGGGACGCCGCTAGAGGAGGAGGAGGAGGAAGAGGAGGAGGAGGAGGAGGTAGAGGAGGAGGAGGTAGGAGGTGATTGACCTCGGGGTTTGATTACGTTCGCCTCAGCCCGTTTCACGGCACCATCATTTTCGGCGCCGTTCTTTGACGCTCGAGCTGCACGCGCTACTACGGGGGGGGCGACAGTAGCCACGCTGGTGGCCACAGCGACGCCCCCCCCCCTCCCCGAGGAATTGGAATGGTGACTTAGGTCACCCTCAGCGGAGCCACAAAAACAGGCAGCAGCCCTCCACATGTGCAATTCAGCTACACTTGGGCCAGTCAGCACAGACTGCGCCAGCCCTTGCATATGTACTCTCCCGCTTCGCGCAGGCTTGTTCTCTTGATATATGATATCGAATGTCATGTTGGCGAGTGAGTTGGGTACTGGCCCTTAGGGCCTGTGAGTATGTAGCACCCCGCAATTGCGGATAAGAGTAATGGGGGCGGGCGCGGGCGACGCGGGAGCGGGCGGCGCGGGCGACGCGGGACTCGAGCCTTCGTCGTCGTCGGATCGAATGCAAAAGAAACCCGCCGCGGGCGCCGAATTTTTGGCTTGTTCAGTGAACGTAGTTTGGGTCGCGGGTGGGTCGCGGGCTCTCCACCTCCACCTGGAAGGAATTCAAAAACAGCCCGCCGAAGGCGCGGAAAGTTTAGACTTGTACACTGCACGCGGTTTGGGTCGCGGGTGAGTCGTAGGTTCTCCACCTGGAACGAATGCAAAAGAAGCCCGCCGCAGGCGCCGAAATTTTGGCTGGGTCGCGGGGTGGGTCGCGGGTGGGTCGCGGGCGCGGTTTGGGTCGCGGGTGGGTCGCAAGTTCTCCACTTGGAACGAATGCAAAAGAAGCCCGCCGCAGGCGCCGAAAATTTTTGGTGTGTCGCGGGGTGGGTCGCGGGCGGGTCGCGGGTGGGTCGCGGGGTGGGTCGCGGGTGGGTCGCGGGTGGGTCGCCGGTGGGTCGCGGGTGGGTCGCCAGGGGGGTCTCGGGTTGGGTCGCGGGTGGGTCGCGGGTGGGTCGCGGGTGGGTCGCGGGTGGGTCGCGGGTGGGTCGCGGGGTGGGTCGCGGGTGGGTCGCGGGGTGGGTCGCGGGTGGGTCGCGGGTGGGTCGCGGGGTTGGTCGCGAGCGGGTCGCGGGGCGGGTCGCGGGTGGGACGACGACAACAACAAACAACAAACAACGAACAATAAACAACAAATACCAAACAATAACAACAACAACAACAACAACAACAACAACAACAACAACAACAACAACAACAACAACACCAACACCAACATCAACATCAACAACAACAACAACAACGTCTTCAGCAGCAGCAACAACAACAACAATAGTCATTTTAAGACTGTTTGCCCTTATATGCTCGAGTGTCCACTAGAGCGTATTTCCCAAACCCTCGATACCCGCCCTCTTCGTCTTCGATCGAACCCCTTTTGGGGGGTATACCTTTCTTCCCTGCAGGCCGGGCCCCGGCAAGCGGCGGGGCGGCCGCGGACCGTCGGCCTGGCCAGCGGCAGCGCTGATCGGCGGGGCGGCCGCGGACCGTCGACCCGACCCCAATAGGGACGGACAGGGGACCGACCACGACGACGACTACGACGACGACGACGACGACGACGACGTCGAAAACGACGGCGACGACGGCGACGACGAGCGAAAGCGAGAGCGAGAGAGAACGACAGCAGGGCCACGAAGGGCACGAAGTAGGCCACGAAGGGCGACAGCGGGGACACGAAGGGCATGCACGTGGGACCACAACGGGCGCGACTCCTGGGTGCCTGGGTGTCGGGATCGCGGCGCTTGGGCAAATTGCCGGAAATTCCAACGCAAGGCTATTCTTCAGTAAGTTGCAAGCAAGTCTCCAGCGAGAGCGCAACTCCAGAGCTCCGGAAGAGCGATTCCTGCATAAGTTGTAAGGAAGTCCCAAGCGAGAGCGCGATTCCTGAATAAAATGCGAGGAAGTCTCGGGCGGGAGCGGGGGTCCTGCCTAAATTGTAAGGAGGTCTCAAGCGGGAACCGTTGTTGTTGTAACCCGGGGGCCAGGGGGCCAGTTTGAGCAGGAAGGCTTTCTTGGTCAAAAATCAAGGTGCGAGCGTCGAGGGGCACACTTTGATTGAGAAAAAACCGTATGCACCGGTGGTGGCGGGATCAACAATAATTATTCTTCAGAAGTGAGAATTCAACAGCAACAACAACCACGCCAACACCACCAAAAACAACAACAATAATTTTAAGACTGTTCGCCCTTATCTGCTCGAGTGTCCAATAAAGCGTATTTCCCAAACCCTCGATACCCGCCCTTTTCGTCTTCGATCGAACCCCTCTTGGGGGGTATACTTTTCTTTCCTGCCGGCCGGGCCCCGGCAAGCGGCGGGGCGGCCGCGGACCGTCGGCCTGGCCAGCGGCAGCGCTGATCGGCGGGGCGGCCGCGGACCGTCGACCCGACCCCATAGGGACGGACAGGGGACCGACCACGACGACGACGACGTCGACGACGACGGCGACGACGACGACGACGGCGACGACGAGCGATAACGAGAGCGAGAAAAAACGACAGCAGGGCCACGAAGGACACGAAGTAGGCCACAAAGGGCGACAGCGGGGACACGAAGGGAATGCGTACGGGGCCACGAAGAGCGCGAACGAACGGGGGCCACGAAGGGCAGATAATGCGGGGCCACAGAAGGCAACGATGGGGCCACTGAGGGTGGCAACTGGGCCACGTAGGACAGTGAGGGGGCCACAAACGGCGACAGCGGGGCCACGAAAGGCATGCACATGGGGCCACAACGGGCGCGACTCCTGGGTGCCTGGGTGTCGGGAGCGCGGCGCTTGAGCAAATTGCAGGACATTCCAGCGCAAGGGCGCTATTCTTCAGTAGATTGCAAGCCAATCTCCAGCGAGAGCGCGACTCCAGAGCGCCGGGAGAGCGATTCCTGAATAACGTGTAGAGAGGTCCCAAGCGAGAGCGCGATTCCTGAATAAGATGCGAGGAAGTCTCGGGCGGGAGTGGGGGTCCTGGCTAAATTGTGGAGAAGTCTAAGGCGGGAGCCGTTGTTGTTGCAACCCGGGGGCCACGGGCCCAGTTTGAGCATCAAGACTTCCCTTGTCAAATAACAGGGTGCGAGCGTAGAATGGCACACTTTGATTGAGAAGAAACAGTATGCACCGGTGGGGGGATCAACCATAATTATTTTCAGAAATGAGGATTCAAGAATCCGCATCGCGGAATTCCAATTCAGCCACGCACCCAGGGACAGTGAATGACCGTTCGGTATGCCAAGCTACCGTTTTCGTTCAACTGTAGCCGACTGCATACTTGTTCTAAGCAGCCACACCTCAGTCAGGCCAACCAGCCAGATGGAGGTGGAGTAGGAATTTCGAGCAACATTCAGTCCCAGGCAATTTAGTCTCATATACCTCATGATCGCATAGATCAGCCATTCTACATGAGCCAGCCTTGTCTAATGTAAGCGTCTCCCGCGCAACAAACATCAGGCCTGACAGTACCCCTATCTTGATACACTTCTCCTCTACATGTGGCCGTCTCATTCAAATCTGAACAGTCCTAATCCACTTCTCCTACATCCTGCCTCACATATGCCAGCCATTACCTACCTGGCCTGCATGGCACCAGCATGAAGGCACAGTCGACCGTGAAGTCTGACTTCCATATACCTCCAGCGTCACATCCACTTTTCTTCTTGACTTCTCGCGTGCGTTTTCTTGTGCTACGTACGTTTTCTTTCAAGTTAGCTTCGCTGCCATCCTGGATCTGAGTGCGGGGTCGGGTTGGCGTTTGGAGGAATGACGGGGGAGGGGCAGCTGGAGGGAGGGGACGAGCCTCACTCGATACTGGCTGCCTAGCACCACTTGAGAACAGGTGCAGGCTTGCCTGTTGCACGCGTATTTCGATCACCCCGTACGGTTTCCTCCTCGGGGTATCAGGTCTGATGGATCGGCCCTCTTCCCCTCTCCACTTTGCGGCCTGGCAGGGACATGCTCTACAGCACTAGGGCTCTTTAATTTTCGTTCGCTTATCATTGCCTTACCTTCTCTGCTGCGCTCGCCAGGCTTAATTAGTTTGCTCTCGGCCTAAGGAGTCGGCTTGCTGTGCGTTTTCTCGCGCACCCAGAACGCAACGATCTTTGATCCATGTCCGTGCATCGTCAGAAAAGGAGGAGGAGAAGGAGGATTGGGAGGAGGAGGAGGAGGAGGAGGAGGAGAAGGAGAGGGAGGAGGAGGAGGACGCGGAGGAGGAGGAGGAGGACGACGCGGAGGAGGAGGAGGAGGAGGAGGAGGAAGAGGAGGAAGAGGAGGAGGAGGAGGAGGAGGAGGAGGAGGAGGGAGGAGGGAGGAGGGAGGATGAAGGGCGGCCAGTCGTCTGCTCCGCCACCGCCGACGCGCCCGGAGGCCGGCAGGCAGCGGCACGCCCCTGGCCGGCCGCTCGCGGAGGAGAAGCCGCGGCTCGCCGCCGAGCAACTTGCCGCGAACCCCCCGGCCGTGGAAGGACCTCGCTCGCTTCGCACACGTGAGGAAGAGGAGGAAGAGGAGGAGGAGGACCAGTGTGAGCCCAAGAGGCATCAAAGATGTTGGAATAAACCCTCCCTCCAAGATCCTCTTCACAGGCCCTTACAAGGGTTTATGACCACTGCGGGAACTGCCTCGTTGGAAGACAACCGTCTGAAGACCCTGACGAATGCCAAAACATCGTTCTCGGGATCCCAACGCCACGGATCAATCTGACTGTTGCGTCTTGGCTGGGCTATCCGGAATCGTGCCAGAACGCCATTCCTGGGACTTCAACACCGCGAATCAACGTAATTGCTGCGTCACCGTAATCCTGAATCCTTTTAAAATGCCGTTTTTGGTACGCTGATCATGGGAATCCGTGGAACTCTTGCAATTTGAAGAACGAATGTGCGCGGCGCTAAGGCGATAGGCACATTTTGATAAAGGAACCGCCCTCAAAATGTGAAGCTCTTGCAAATTCGAAAAAACTAATGCGGGCGGCGCTAGTGCGAGAGCCACCTTTTTGTTAAGGAGCCGCCCTCAATCCGTGAAACTCTTGCACATGTTTACAACGAATGTGCGCGGCACTAGTGCGAGAGCCACGTTTTGAATAGGAACCGCCCTCAATCTGTGAAGCTCTTGCACATGTCCGTTGCCATCACGGGGCCCAGAGGACGTCCAAACAATTCCATTCGGGATGGTCAAGTGGTCCTGGGGAATGGGTCGATACCTCTGGGGGTCGACGTCATGAAGCAAAAATCATGATGACGGGGGTTTGGATCCGCAGACGCGCTCGTGTCGTGCCCTGAGACCCTGGTGGTGCAATTTTATAACAGCGGGCATGTTCGCCGGGTTTCGGGCCCCAGGACCCTCACTGATCGACCCAGTTCGAAACATGGCGCAGAAAGATGGTGACCAGGGCTCCGGTCGTTCTCTTGCGCAATGTTGCGCTCGTCCTTGCAACGTCAGATTTTGGGGACGTGTTCGCGCCGTGGAAAAGTCACGAGGCAACTTTTGCGTGGCCGTTTGCGGCCCTCGCAATGCCCCATGGCCGTCAATACACGACGTGCTGGGGTGGTACGCCGGCCCCAGGGAACTGGTCAGGACGTCCGGGGGCCTCGCCTCGGCGCGGCGCAGCTGTCACGCACCAGGTCTTCTTGCTGTTGGGTCTCTTCGCGTGTTTCAAGGACTCGGTGGTTGCCTGACTGCCATCCAGGTGCTACTTTGAACTGCTCGGGACCTCTCCTGACCACCTTGCAAAGTGAGCTGCAGAAGCCCGGCGCGGGGGGTGCCTGATGGAAAATCACTCACCAAGCCGTTGCGGGCGGGACTTGTCGCCTTCGCGTTCGCTCTGTGAAGATTTCGCTTGAACATGCTGTTGCCGCGTGGACGCTGTGTGCGTGCGTGTGTGCATGCGTGTGTGAAAATTGCATTGCTGTTCCGGCGAAGCGTCTTCTTCTTCTTCTTCTTCTTCTTCTTCGGATGCATCTCCTGGGAGGTCAGAATATGATTCTGCCCTGGTCCGAAGTCCGGCTTAATCCGCTCTGTTCCCGCTTAATCCGGCTTAATCCCGCTTAATCCGGCTTCGTCCCGCTCAATCCGAGGCTCACTCCGGCGTAACACCCCCCCAATGGGGCTTGATCCTCCCTAATCCTTCCGACGAAGACCTCCCAGCAGTTGCCTCCTAATTCTTCGCCTTCAACACGCACGTTGCCAATCTGGCTGCCCGAGAGAGGGCTCAAATGGTGCTTTCGCCGCAGCGCCGCACAGGGATGTCCTGAAGCTCTGCTCCCGCCCCGCGCATGGCCCGCTCCTCTCGTCTCCTCGCCGCGTGCTCCCCCAGTAGGGAACGCGCTCCGGTCCCAGCATCCACGCGTGCCACGAGTGACTCGTAGGTGACCGCTGGCTAGCTCGACCTGGCTCGCCTGATGATTTCTCCCGCTCCCCTTCCCCTCTGCCCCTGCTCTCTCCTCCCCCCTCTTTTCTGTCTGCTGTTGCATTGTGTATAGCAGGTATACGAGTGCCAGTAGTGTTGAGGACAGCGGACTGCCATTCCCAGCGTTCGACGACGACGACCCTCCCCTCTGGCCAGCCACCATTGCAGTCGAGCGGTGCATCTCCAGAAGCCTCCTCCCGCAGAGCTGCGCCAGCGTTTCCCGACCAATTTGCTGGAACGCTGGCCCGGTCTCTTGGGCATGCCCGCCCCTCCAGCGTAAGCAGACACTGGCCCAGGCTTGTTTCCAGAAGCTTCTGGGAAGCTGGCCCAGACTGGCTAACTCGTTGAATTGTCTCGATCGTGTGCTCGGTTGCGGGGCATACTGAGAAAGGAGGGGCGCGGAATCTCCTGCGCGCGGCCAGCTTCGGCCCCGCCGCTTGGCGCGTTCGCTCCTCGACCCATGGCCGTCACTGGCGCAGGGGAGTGCTACTCGTTGGCTCGCTCCTCACGCCAGCCGCAGCTGTTGAAGAACATGGACGGCATGAACATACAATGTACATTCGGGCGGGTGGTATCAGGGGGTGACCAGAGTTGGGGGCAGAGGCCCTCATGGAGCCCTCCAGGGCCCCTTTCAGGGCCCAGTTCTTCACCCCTCAATTCACCCCCCCATGACCACCCGCCCGATACATGTTCGGACGCCCATGCAGATGTCTCCGGTTCGCTTGACTCCGCTGCGCCCGCCAGGTCCATCGCAGGCCGAAGAAATCCGCGCGGACTTTGGTCTAGATGTGTTCTTGCTTGTCGGTATGAGCTGGGGGAGCTAGGGTCGATCCCCGTTGGGGGGGGGCATCGGCTTCGATACCCCTCTCGCGGGATCGTCGGTACGATGGGTTCTCCCAGGCTTTGCGAAGAAGCGCAACTCCTCTAGTTGTGGCTTGACAGATCCTCTCTCCCTCCCCCTCCTCACCTTCCTCCTCCTCATTATCCTCCTCCATCCCTTGTCTTTTCAGTATAGCTATTCGTATCATGCTGCCGTCTTTCAGTTCCCCTCCGGGGTCCTCATCCTTCTCCTCCTGCGCTTTCCTCCCTCCTCCCTCCCTCTTTCTTCTTCTCTCCTCCGTCCTACTCTGAGCCTCCTCCCTCTTCCCTCTGGCTCCCTCCTCCCTACCTCTTCCTTCTTCATCCCTCCCCCTTCTCCTTCCTCCTCTCTCGTCCCTTCTGCTCCTTTCACTCTCCATCCCCTTACCCTCCCTTCGGAATGGGAGGTAGAATGATGACCAGGAGGGAAATGGTAGAGGGCGGATGGGGATGGATGATAGGCAGTTCGAGGAATGATAAGTGGAGGGTGGCAGGCTAGGAGGGAATTCGGCCAATGGGGAATGGAGAACATGTAAATTGTGAGGACGAGGGAAGGGACAAGGGGGGAAGAGACGGTGGGTTTACATGGGGCAGGGGCGTGGGAGGAGGGAGGGAGTATGAGGGATGATTGAATGGGGGAGGGATGATGGGAGCGTCACAGCTAGGGAGTTGCAAGAGAATTGTCGGGGTGGACAGGGAAGCGGAGATAAGGGAAGAGGAGTGGAAGAGCGACACGGGGGATGAAGCGGAGGCTAAGGGATGTTGAGGAGCAGGGGCGAGGAGAGGGTGAGAGCGGAGGGGAGGGGGCGTTGGTGGTGATATGCTTGATCCTCTCGCTTGCTTCCTCCCTCCTCCCTCCCTCCCTCGTCTACTTCCATCCTCTCTTCTGCATTGTCCTCCGTCCAAATATGCGCCCGATCCTCCCCCTGCTCCATCCTCGCTTTTCACTCCTGGTCCTCCTTGTCCTCCCTCGTCCATTGTCCCTTCTCCTTCTCTTCTCCTTCTCCCTTCCCCTCTCCTCCTCCCGGTCCCAGGCAAGCCAGATTGCAGAGGCTGCAGCCTTACCCACCCGGCCTTAGCTACGTAGGCCAGAACGGTTGTCCGCAGCTGCGGCAGTCCGTTCGTTTTTCGTTCACCCCCCTCTCTCTTCCAGCCGCCGGGAGGACTCGACGGCAAGCCCCTGCAGACTGTGTTCGCGCCCATGGTACCCAACTTCGTGGCGGCACGGATCCAGGGCGCCGGCGGCGAGCTGGAGGACAGAGGGAGAGCCTCCATCGGGGGAGTTGGGCACAGATTCGACGGGGCTGGCCTGAGCGAGAGCTGGATGCACAGGGGCGCCGGCCGAAAGTTCGGCCGATCTCCATCATCTCCAGGATGCCGGGGGCGGCGTTTCGGAGCGCGCCGACTTCGGCCAGGCCTGTGGCCCCGTGTGCGCGGCGGTTGTGGCCAGGAGAGCCGGACGCGCACGTGGGGCGCTTTGCGCGGGTGCCGGGCGCACGGCCTCCGCCTGGTCCGCACGCGAAGCCAGCCGCCTTGTGTGTCGTCTGCCTTCCCGTCAGGATTCGCTTGCGAGCCCTCGCTCCAACCGCCCCGCTGGAGCTGGGGGCCCTTCGCCCGCCCAAAAACGCCGAATGGTTTCAGCAGGCGGCACGGGTGGGAGCGGGTGAGGATGGGAAGGGTCCTCTCTTCCTTGCCTATTTTCCTCCCCCTCGTCCGCCCCTTCCTTCACCTCCCTCCTTCCTCCCGCTTCATTCCCCTGCCCCTGTCTCTCCCTCTCCCTTTCTCATCCCTTCTTCCTCCTTCTCCTCCCTCTCCCCCTTTCTATCCCTCACTTCCCCCGCAGCCCAGATGGAGGACGTGAAGATGGAAAGCTTCTTCTCAGCTCTCGGCGTCTATCGAGAAGCGGCCCCTCATTTGGGCAAGACGGTTCTTTGGGTTTTCGCCGATTTTGACTCCAACTTTATTCCAGGCGCTCCGCGTTCTCGCCAGGAGAGCCGAACCCTGCCCGAAGACCGATCGATGCTGTGCCGCAGCATTCCAAGACGGCCCCGCAGAAGGCCAAAGACGTTCCAAGACTACGGCCAGGAACTTTTGCGTGGCGTGTCTCCACGGCGGCCGCGTCGACACGCCTGCTCTGCAAGCGGATAGCATGTCGCTCCGCTCCGCGGGGCGGGATGCTTGGAACGGCTCGGGACACTGACCATTGCGGACAGGGCCATGAATAGCTTGTCGCGCCGAGCGCCGAGACGTGGTGGGCCAGAACCGCCGGAGCGACACGCTGAGCAAAAGTTCCTGACCGTAGTCATACACATTGCCCCAGCACGGCCCAAGGTAAGATCAAAATGCTGCCCGAACACGCCGCCGTCGAATAGCTATGAGACCAGGGCGGCGCACGCATGACGGCCGATCATCTCATGCCCGAGCGTCATACACGTGCACTCTACTCCAGGCCCGTGTCGGGGCCATTTTTCTATCCGGAGCCTACGGTCAGGAACGTCGGCTTGGCGTGTCGCTCCGCTGGTTTTGGCCCACCACGCTTCTGCGCGACATGCTCTCCACGCTCCCGTCCGTGAGCGTCCAATCCCTCAGATTCTCCCAGCCTCCCGCCCCGCGGAGCGGAGCGGCACGCTGTCTACTCGCAAGGCCGCGCGTGTCGCCTGGGCCGCCGCCGCGACACGCCAAGCAGAAGCCTCTGAGCGTGAAGTGGCACCAGAGTCGCAGAGTCGACTGACCAGGCGCGCGTCCACGACAGCGTGCCACAGACGAGTCCGAGAGCGATTGCAGGGGTTTGGCATCGCTCGGACGTGTGCATTTTTTCTCGGCGAGGACCATCGAGGAGCATCTTGGGCCATCTTGCGAAAAATGCACGCACGAACCCCTAAAACGCACGCGGAATGGACGTCCGAGCGATGGCGAGTGGGGCGCCAGGCGACACCCAGCCAGGCGACACCCAGCCAGGAACTGTTTGTTCTGTGTTTGGTTTGCGCTCTTGGCCGACGTCCGACACTAGGCGGAATAGCGGATGCCGGGGGCCAGAGAAGGGCCCCGGAGATGGCCCAAACGGAGCAGTTGACTGTTAGGGTGTCCATTGTCGTGGCATCCACGAAGTTTAGGAAGGACCTGCAAGTTGATCTCGCCTTGGATTCCGTCTCGCAGCCGCCTTTGGCCCAGAAAGGGTCCCAAAGAAAGCGGGCGACGGCGTACGCGGAGCGCGTCGAGGGGAACAAAGGCCAAAGCCCAGACGTATGGTCGAGCGTCTGATGCAGAAACCTCCTCCCGAGAACTTGCAGGCAGCGTCTCTTGAACACTTTCGTCCTTCCAGCGCGAACATGAAAGCTGGCCCAGGTTTGGTTTAAGAACCTTCGGAAAGCTGGCCCAGATCTCTTGAATGCTATTGTTAAGTCGGGCCTGTCCCTCTACAGGGGGGATATTCAAAAATAGTCAAAAACATATGGGGACGATTTGTTTTACAATTTTTGAATATTTTAGGGTATTGGTTGGCTATCTTGTATTTTGCGTCCAAAATCCCTCTGTAGGGGGACAGACCCGCCTTAATGCGAATGACCTTGATCGCAATTTCGGCCGTGATGAGCTATCGAATCAAAGCCTCGCACGCCCCTCAGCCCAGCGGACAGGCGGATCCTAGAGGCTTGCGCCACTCCACCGACTTCCAGAATCCGGCGGCGAGCGAGGCTGGGACGCGAGGAGGGGAGGGCTCATCAAACTTCTCAGAAAGGTCGGGGGCGTCCGGGCCTTCTGAGAAGGCCCGCCTCTCGATCCCCTCCCCCCCGGGCTGGCCACCGAAAAAAGGGCAAAGGAGAAAGGGCAGGGGTGCCTCGAAGGTCGGTGGCTGCGTTCCCGCTGCGGCGTGTTGGTAGGGGCCATGGCGTGCGGCCACTCGTTGGGAGCCCCGTGGGGCACGCTCCGGGTGCTCCTAGAGCTTTCTGCTGTTCGGGCCCCGGGAACTCTCGCACTCCTAGGTTTGGAAGTTGCCAGCCTCGAACATATCCCCATCCCTAAGATTGACACGCCAAAAGGCGATGACAATCTTAGGGATTCGCCGTCAAAAAATAAGGGAATCCCTGAGATTGGCATCGTGATGAGGAGGTGCCCAGCATAGGGATAGGGATATGTTCCAGGCTGGTTTGGAATATGCTGGGCTATTCTGATTGCTGGTGCGCTGTTGGCGCGCCCTGGTGCTGTTTGGAGAACTGCTGCAGCCATGAGTAAACTTTATGGGAACTGTCCTCGGGGCTTGGTTGCTGTTCATTGGGGCCCTGTTTGGCTCCACTTGGACACGCTTTAGGTTCCCATGGGACTCTCTTCGGCAATCTTGGATTACGTGTGCCACATCTAACCCGTAAGTTCTTGTCGCGTTGTCATATACAGGAGGTTAGTCAGGATACCGCACGGCCATAATGGAGACATGTTGAGGCCTAGTGGGAGTATTGCCGGGACCATCTTTGGCGATTTTGACAGTCTTGGCTGTATTATCCTGCTACAGTGGGCAAGGTGTGGAGGTCATTCGTACCCCAGAGTTGCGTTGAGGATCTCGGAGGCACCCCCGACGTCGGATTTGGAAACCGTTGCGGGGTTTGCGCGCAAGGGGTACAGCTAAGCTTCACGCACGCCTCGTCAGCCTCAGTACACGGGGATGGGCGGACCGTCTGCAAGAAACACTTCGACGAGGATCCTGCTTCAAGGCGGACTTTGCGTGGTTTTTTGCAGGCTGACTTGGATGCAGGATTGCATAGGCCGCGCCATCAGGGGAAGCCCTTCCTCACGGATCCGTCGGGGGCCTGCCAGCTGCAATGGCTGCTTCGCGCGATGGAATTCTTTATCGCGAGCCTCCACCACATATTCGTGGAGGGCGAGAACAAGGGCTTCTCGGCCGCCTACGCTGAGACTCTGTCAAATTACCACTCGGGGATGACGGCCTTTGGCGCCAAGGCGCTGCTGATGGCAATGCCTGGTAAAGAGGGCATCTGCGCCTTGGAGTCGATCTGTCCCGAGGCGCCAGATGTTAACAGCCGGACCGCATGCATCTGCCACGACATGTTCGAGATGACCACCGCCGTGCTGCCAGTGGTCAGAAAAATGATAGCGATTATGAAAGAAATGGATTTGTGGGAGGACGGCAGGGTGTAGGGATTGGGATGGCAGAAACCTGAAGCCCACCCCCCCTGCATTCTCACAATAGTTCCCTCTCCGCAGCGCCCGTATGGCTGTGCTACTTAGGACGATTCGCGGCGCGGCGCCCCAGAGATCCGACGCTCCGACAAGCATTGAAGCAGGCGGTTTTTCGCCTCCTCCTCCTCCTCCTCCTCCTCCTCCTCCGTCTTCGGCTAAGGAGGCCCTCGCTGGCCCTCGGGAGGCCGCACACCTGGCCCCTCGGGAGAGGGGTCCACGCCTCCCAGGGCTCACGAATCGCAGAAGCTTGGATCAAGGGAGGAAGAACCACCCGGACCGGACAATTGGCGTTTACTAAACGGCCCTGGGCGTTTACTAAACAGCCTTGCCCTGTTTGATTCCTTCTATGGGCGCGTTTACTAAACCCCCTCGCTGGTCGGGGTGGTTATTATGGGGGTGGATGGTTTGCCCCCTATTGGAGCAGCCGGGTGTCTGCGGCGGCGCGCGTGCCCTGTGCGTGCGCCTCTGCCACAAGAGCTTCTCCCGTTCGCTGCAGCAGCTGAGCGGGCAATCTTCCACTGCTCGCGCGCGGGATGGCGAAAACGAAGGCTGCGTGCGCCTCGGAGGGAGGCTTAAACCAAATTGCTTCTCCGGAGCAGCTGCAACATGCAGTACACACCGTCCGAGGCTCCCTGATGCCACGCAGAGGTGCCCATGATCGGGAAACCGATGGTCGGGGGGATTAACAGACATCGAAGGATCGGGCGGGGCCAAAAGGGGGGGATTGGGAAAGGGGGGGTTACGAAATCTGTTGCATGCAGCTGGTTTCGGCCCCGCCGCCGGGCCCATTCCTCGATACATGGGCGCCTCCCGGCCCCGGGAGGCGCCGGGAGAATCAGCTACGTGAGCTGATTCTCAAACCCTCCCTTTGCTATCCCCCCCTTTCGCCCAGCCCGAAAGGAGCGGTCTCGTTTGGATCATTCGCCTCGCAATCCCAGCTCCAATACAGTCACCGGGGGGGGAGGGGGGCCTTGGGGTTCGGTGTTGCTCCTCCTGCTTCTCTTCCTCTCCCTCCTGCCGCCACCCTCTCCTCCTCCCCTCCTCCTCCTCATCATCATCTCCTTCTCCTCCTCCTCCTTCTCCTCCTCCCTCCTCCATGATGGCCATGTAGCTGCCTGGTTGGATCGGAGTTACGCCTCCTCCCGAAGCAAACGGTGAGCTAGTTGCAGGCAGTTGTGAAGGTGTTCGCCCCCCCTTTTTGCACCAGGTTCAGCGAGCAGACTTTGTTTTGGCACCCGTGGATCGCCGACCTTCACCGTTTTCGCAGCGCCGTCGCTCCTCAAGAGACGACCAAACGCGAAGCCAACAGAGCACCTGGCCGTTTGACACATGTTTTGAGGCCGTACACGAGTCGGGAACAGGACGATCGTCAGTTAAAGTTTCGGAAGTGCCAGTTCGATGCCACATTTCTTTAGCCTGAGCGCTTGGCGGGATCGTCGTGGCAAGGTTCAGATGGAGGGAGTGGGGGGGCAGTTAGCACAGCGACAGAATTTAGCAGCGACACATTATGGGGATTCTTAGGGCTTTTACCCCTTGGAGGTGCCGGCAGACACGCTGTGGCGCTCGCAGGCTCGTGTGGCGCGTGCATGCACTGCGGTCGCAGACTCTCGCAGCATTGGCAAAGTTTGGCGCACTGTCGTGTCATCGAGCATTGCGGCACTCGTGCGCACGCTGCGGCTCTCGTGGGCAAGTGTGATGCCTGCCTGGCGCACTGCCGCGCACATCGTGTCGCCAGCAGGCGACTGTTTTGCTGACGGGGTCCGGCTCTCCTCGCCGTCTGCTGGTAGTGCGCGCGCACTGCGTGGCTCTCGGCCGCGCTGTGGTGCGCGCAGGCTGCGGTGGTGCTCACGGACGCACTGCGGTGCACGGAGCCCTGCGATTCCACCCGCCGCTCGCTCGCATCGCACACAGCTCCGAGACGACGACGTCGACGACGACGCCAGCCGCCGTCGCAGCCACGGCCGCCACCACCGCCGTTGCCGCCGTCGCGACCGCCGCTGTCCCAAACATCGAACGGTGTGATCTATGCCAATGCGCGGCCCCATGGGTCCCTTGCGTCATCGAACTCCTGCGTGGGCGCGCGCATGAGAGCCTACGGGCGGCTGCGGTGCACGGGAGCCTCCAGTGCGCCTGTGCTGCATACGTGCGTGGGTTTCCGCTCTTGTGCGCGCCCCCAGGCTTGCATCGGCGCCGCTGGCCATGCCCGCGCCCTCCGCCCCCCCTCTCGTTACCCCCCTCCACCATCGCCTGACCCCCCCCCGTAATGGACGTCACGGGGGGTAGTCAACACTCTCTCTTGGTTTGGGGGCGGCTATCAGAACGACAACGTAAGCAACGAGTTCGCCGTGTGTTTGAGATCGCTGTGCTTAGCGTTGTGCTCTGCTCTTTTTGTGATGAGTTGGAGGGAATTCATCAGCGAGAGACTGCGGATGAGAACTGACTAGCCAGAGGTGGGAGGCGGAGCAGGAGCTTGATTCCGAAAAGAAGGAGGACCCAGAGGAGGATCTGGAGAAACGCCAGACAGCCCAGAGTGGGTACACGTATACTACTCCAGAGAATTGCCGATCACTCCCCGACCGTTCTGCTGGGCGCTCGAGCGGGCGTGGCGCCTGGTTTATCTGCGCACCTGCTGGCTATCGGGGGTCCTCTGGCTCTTCATACCCGGTGTGGTCGTATCTTGCCATCGCCTTACCCTGTCCGATGGCCCGGCTCAGGATGTCTGAAGTCTGAAGCGTCGACCTGTGCCGGTCCTGAAGACAGCCTGTCTGTAGGGGTTCGATGCCATGCCTGCGCCCAGCGAGGGTGCCCGGGCCCCCGACAACGATGGCCTGTCGTTGTCCCCCGTTGTGGCCCTCCATCGTGCACCCCCAGCTGGCTCCCATCGTCGCAGGCCTAGAGATCGACACCAACACCAATTTCGGCGGTGTGCCTCCACCGAGGGAAGAAGATCCCGATCTCGGTGATGGTGGTAATATTCTGGCTTCCAAGGTGGCCGTACCACCGAAAATCTAGGATCATCCTCCCCCTGTGGAGGCAACCCTCTGTCTTGGTGTTGGTGCCAATTTGCAGGCCTCCGACATCGTGGCCAACCAGCGCTGCAGCGCTGCCCCCCCCCCCCCCCTATCAAGCTGCGTGGGGCCTTCTGCTGCAGAGGCGCAGTTTTGACGACACCTTCTCTGGGTTCCGCCAGCCTTCTGCAGGCTCCGTATGCGAAGGCGTCAGTGCTTTGCATGCGCCGTGCTCTGCGGCCCATTCCGCCAGCTCCAGCCGAAGTGGGGAGGTGAACCTTCCGATTCAAAGGCGGGGATCTGTTGTATCTCCCTGATCCCAGACCTCTGACATCGTGATTTGTTATGCGTGCCTTCCCCCGAACTCTCGACGCCATCCCTTGGACATGCTTTTCGCCACGGATCGTTCTGTGATGACCGAGGGCCCACAGAGGATAATAGCACATCTGTCATTTTTGTCTTTCGACGCCCAGGGGGTCTGGGTCCACTTTCGTTCATGATCAGCCGCTGGGCACCTCCTGGATACCATCCTGATCGGTTGTGGGACTGTTGGGCCTTTTGGGCGTTTCTGGGGAGATCCTGGGGGCGTGTTGGGGGTCTTGAGACCTCTACGTTGGAGTGAAAGGCTCCGAAGGCCAATTCGAGTTCACCCTCTTGGGCACCTCTTTGGGGCGTCTTGAGCGGGTCTCGGAGGTAACTTGGTTCGTCTTGGGGTCCTGTTGGGCCTTCTTGAGGCTCTCTTGAGAGCCTCTTCGTCCGTCTTGGGGCGATCTTTAGGCCTCTTGGGCCGTCTGGGGCCCTGGAGCTCGTAAGCGCGAGTACGCCGAATTCTTTGAAGACGTGGAGGGGTTCAATGGCTTTGGCCTTTCCAGGCCCTCTGGGGGATCCTCTTGGGGCCCTCGTAGGCCGTCTCGGTGGCCTCCTGGGTTGTCTTGAAACCTGTTGGTGATAGGCACTGGCATGTTCTCCTGCCTCTCCCCCGCCGACTCTCGGGGCCTCTTGGGGGCGCCTCGGGGGTCACTGGGGGCTCGTGTGGCCACGGCTGCGGGAAAGGCTCGAGACTGCAGTTCGTGTTGCCCCTCTTTGGCCCCTCGGCCCCCTCACTCTGAGTACTCCCTCCTCTTTCCCTCAGGTCCGCCGTTGCACAAACATGGTAACATCGCGAACAATCACGACCAGGTCCCTAGACCCATCTTTCTGCCCCAGCTTCCGAGCCGGATCGATCTGTGAGGGTCCTGGGGCCCGAAACTGGGCGAAAATTCCCGTTGTGGAAAAAATGGCATCGCCCAGATTTGAGGGCCTCGAGGTCGGCGTCGGACCCCAGGGAAAGGGTCGCGAGATGAAAAGCCCGGCCCGGGGAAATGGTCGAGAGGCCCGCGGGCCCAAAGCCTGGACAAACACCGCGCCGCTGGGTCTCAGCCGCCCACGCGGTCCTCTGCCGCTCGGCGGAACGCCGCCTTTCAACACCCACCGAGCCACCCCAACCCAACCCGAAGGCCCTCATTTGCCCTCCACTCCCAGTGGAGGGGGCGTCGGGGAGCCTTGACAGAAGCACCTGTGGAACCCGCACCCCGCCTCCAAGCCCGAAATGCGGGCCTTCGTGGGTCGTCAGCACTGGCGGCCCTCCCCCCCCCTGGCCTCCCTCACTCCCCTCCCCTCAGATGGGTAATCCTAGTGGGGCTCTGTAAGCCTGGATCGCATCACGAGACGAGCGCCATCCGCCTGTCTCAGCGCCTGTCCCTGTCACTTGCCGAGAAAGCCCCCCAGAGGGGATGCAGATAGCAGCCCAGGACGGCCGAACCCTCCCCTTCAGTCTGAGCGCTGGTCCCTCCCCTCCCCTCCTGCCCAGCGCGAGGCCGCCCAGAGCTGCACGCGCCGGCGGCCCCCGCGGTGCTGCACGCGCCGTGCTGCTCGCCGCCGCCGGCGGCGCCCTCCCCGGGGCCGCGGCGC